GTTCACGCGCGAGTCCCGTTATCCCGAGGGTGTCCAAAGACACGCGCAATTGCGTATCGAGACACCTCTTGCTCGAAGGGCCGGCCTTCCACCGGTGGGACAAAAACTTGGGACAAAGAGGCGCGACGCGTGTACCATACGGTACAGGGCGAAGAGGTGGGCTCGAGGTGCAAACTTCGTCATTGTCAGGGAACTGACACTCCGGGGGTACCGGGGAGAGTCGGGGCCCTCGCCATTAATAATCTTAGCCCGAACGGAGAAACAAAGAGGCAGATTGTCCAGGGGGTTGCCGAGGAAGAGGAGAAGTAAGAGGAGGAGGAGGAACACGAGGGCATTTCTGTGCGTGTACCACGCATCAAGCCGGCGCGTTTCATTCGGCCGAGCAGCGCGTATACGTGGTAGATATCCGAGAGTGTATCCGATGCGTCCGATAGGGCGGGACACGAGCATAAACAATTGCGCATCGGCCTCGCCCCTTCCCGATACGGTGTAATAAAACGAGAGGTCTCTCTTCGCCGTCCTCCTCTACCCCCTCGACCGGCCCTGCACCCTACCGCTCCCTTTCTCCCCTTTCCATCGCCGAGTCGACGAGTTCCGGCCGCTCATCCAGGCCCCCGGGGCCAGGAATATCGAAACGAACCACCACGAACGGTCGTCCGCGCGATATTTCAGCGAGCCACAGGGGTCGCCGCTGTTTGCTAGCCTCCTACGACCTCCTACGACTGTGTTGCTCCAAGGTCCTCGTCGCGGAGGGATTTTTCGTAACGAGGTAAACGCTGCAATTACGGTCGAGCAACAAGCGTCCGAATGCGCGTCCGATCCAAGTCGTAGCCGAGGGATGTTCTTCGAGGACTCCGACGATCGTCGTGCTCCTTTTCTTCCTCGTGTCTCTGAGACAGACATGCACGCGCTCCACGCTGCCGGGAACATTGTCCGATATTGGTCACAACGATATCTTTTACGAAGTGGTTTCGATCTTGCATCGAAATCTAACGTTACGCAAGATGAGTCGGGTTTCTACGATAGCATTCTTGGATTTTTGAAGTTTCGATGATCGTAATTGGCAGTTGCTTCGGCGATCTACGTTGAAACATAGCATAAAATCTAGCGCGATTTATCAAAAAATCGTTTCACCAACTACTGCGGCATCATCCGCACGCACGTACACGGCCCTCGCGTACGATCAAAGAGCAAAACAGACGGGGGAAATAAAAGATCGACCGAGAAGTTTGGCGAGGACCGCGAGGCACTCGCGCAAGGCGACACAAGGCCCGAGTTTGGTCGCTTATTTGGGAGAGCGAGCCGGGCACGGCCGTTTAATTTGGAGGCCGAACCGAAGGCTGACCTAAAATAGAGGTAGGATTTTAATTGGAATAAGTTTCGCGAGACGTGCAAAAAGACGTGCAGAGAATCGGCGCAGGTTCGTTGCGAGTTGGGCCGCTCGGGGCGAGTGGTGGCGCGCACACGCGATCCGTACGGGGCGAGCGGCCCGCGCCGGTTCTTGCGATTAAACCGAATCGCGGGCCTGTCGCTTGCTAATTTATTAGAGCGCGTTACCGAGCGGAGTGCCCCGGCCCGGGACGGGGTGGTCGGCCGAATTAAATTCGTATTTGGCCGCGCAGGTGGCAGCAGGCGAAATTAGATTCGACGGAGATAAATCCGTGGACCGGTGGACCGACTGGAACGAAGAGAAGAGAGCAGAGCAGATGAGAGAAGCGCTCGCATCGCGCTAAATTGAGACATTCGTAATGGCGGTGTCGAAAGAAGATCGTATCGATGATTAATGCGCGTCGCGGTACCAAGCGGTCCGGTAAAAAGCGCGCAATTACACCGCATAACGCTTAATGACTCGATAAGTGGTACCGCGAAACGATACGTATTGTGACGCGGGATTATAGATGCAGGGGATCCCAGTCGTCCGTCCGGTCCCCGGCCGGTAATAACTGCAATTTCATCCGGTCTTAATCTTCGTTGGATCGTTTGAAACATGGGGGAGGGCAGCGTCGAAAAATCGTTGCCTCACTCGAGGCGCTAGCCGTGCACCGACTAGACGCGAGAGCCACCGCCGAGAGAGCAAAAAGAACCGACGTACGAGGGAACTCTCTGATTGAACGGATTGAACTCTCACCGAGGAGAGAGGAGACTCTCCTCCAGCCGGCTTAATACCGATGTTCGCTGAAAAGCGAACCGAACGAGGTCGTGCAAGAGGAACGAAGTTAGGGGTAGGGAAGAAACCAGGAGCCAGAGGGAAAAGGAGAGGTGAGGAGAGGAGAGAAGAGGAGAGGAAAGGAAAGGAAAGGGCAAGGAAGGGAGGAGAAGGGAAGAAACGGTGATCGTTCTTCTCCGGCAGGCTGGACAATAGCAGCGCCGCGAAGTGTAGCGGACAAACAAATAGCCAATTAAAATTCCGGTTGCACGGCGAACATACTTGTATCAGCTGCGGTACTACCAAGCATTGTGCACCGCAGGCATGCGCGAGCCGGTGTCTGGATCGGTTGACTGGACCCGGGTACCACAAGATCGGTTGCTTACGACCAACCTTCAAGGACTATCTCGTGGAGGCGACTCGTTTGCACCGTTCGCTCAGTTGAATCCTCCTCTCTTCTCAGGTCCGCGCTCCTTCCCAAGAGGAGACATCGTTATCGACCGATCGCGCCTTTATCGCGGCCGATTCCAGCTCTCCCGCTGTCACGTTTCGTGGCGGTGGTTAATTAAAAAAAGCGTTCGCTAGTTTCGTGCCAATTAATCATAAACGCCCGCGGCGATCTTCCCCCCTTCTCCTCCCTCACCTTCCGTCGGTTATTGTTGCTCGCAATTCTTTCCTTCGCCTCCCCCGTTTCTTCTATTCTTCCCGCTCGTCTCTCTCTTCCAACGCACGCGATAAACGCGAACCGTGACTCCGCGTCGTAAGTTGCATCGAAAGAGGCAGCCTGGAAATTAACCACAGACGGTCGACCGTTTCGTTAATTGGTACTGATAGATCCACGATAGTAACTCGAGCGGCGCAACGAACCGCCGGTGATAACCGGGCGAGTGGGGGCCCTGACTTTTACGCGATCGTTATTGTTAGTTGACCCAGCGCTGCCCGATAAAATCGCGCTGATGATTAATCAAGGCGGGAAATTAATTACCCGAGGAGCAGGTCGTTTCGTTACCACTTGCCGCGCTCAACTATAAACGTCCGAACGTTAAATTACTTCCTCGCCTAACCGACGTTGCTCGCCGATCGTTTAGGTAATTGATAGACATCGACCTTTAACTAGCATTACGAACGATTCCCTCGTATCGTTCGCTTCGAAGAATTTTTACCTCCGAAACGTTTATTGCCCAAATAAGGCGATAATTCTCGATACGATACCATAGCAAGTTCCGAAACATAGGTACTGAAGGAGCAACGAATCGAAATCGAGCGACGCTACGACGATAAGACGTGAAGAGAGCAAACGACGCGTTTACAGAAACATCGGATCTCCCTGAATATTCGAATCGTTGGCGAGAACGAACGATTGCTAAATTACAACGCACCCTTAGATACGATCGCGGGCCCATAATTGCAGGACTATTCATACATTATTGGCTCGTATATTATTTGACGCGATTCAATAACTCTGGACCGGGACGCGGCCGATGTTATCTCTCCGTCGTTAAGCCGCATTCGCAATATCGATCGGCGCTGATGAATGGCCGCATTTAAGCCCGTCATTTTTCCCGGTGATTATTAACGTTAAAATTGAATGTGTCCGGGGTAGAAGCAGCAGCAACCTGACGCTCCTTCGCGTGGACCACGTACGAAAAAGAGCCACCAGCTTCTTCTTCTTCTTCTTCTT